AGCAGGCAGAGGATTAGCCTTCACCACCACAGCATCAGGTCCCAGAGATTATATTTAACTTGGAAATGTGGTGAGTTTCAATATTCAGTGCATCTGAATTCCTACTAACTATATTTAAATGATTTGACAATTCCTTTAGCACCTATCAAGAATTTGCAGTTGGGTATTTCATCTTTCAAAGTACAATGAAGGAAACCCAAGTTCCATGGGGAGACACTACAGGTTGTAACCCTGGATGAAGCTACTTCCAACCACTCATCTCCCTGGGACTCAGCAGAGGGAGAAGAAACAGAGCAAGAGCAATGCTTTTGAACGTACTTTGGAACTTTAATTCTCTGCATTAATCTACATAAGAAATTGATTTGAAAAGCAGCACAAGGGAAGTTGCTTGTGTTTGATGTTAGAAGGGGCCAAATTCGGGGCACATCTACAGTCTTGGCATTATATTGCTTTTAAAAGTTGCCGGTAATTCAAGTTGAGAAATAAAAATGTGGGCCTTGGGGCAAACTTAATTGAAGAAAAATTCTGGTGCATTTCAGAGGATTGTACAAGCACATCAAAGAGATGTTTTTAAAAGGCATTAAAGGGCTGAACTGCCCAGGTGAATAAACAGGTAAAGTAGCAGGAAACTTCCTCTTATAAGCAGAGGGAGCTCATTTCAGACCCTCTAATGTTAACGACGTTTAACCAAACTCCTGACAGAAATCTGAGTGACAAATGAGCAAAGCTTTGGACATTTCCATCTATTTTAGCTTCATCAGTCCTACAAAGCACTTGTTTGCTAGAGCATAAGAAAATATTTCTATTTTCTCATTCCACCAGGAATGAAAGTTGTCTTCATTAATATAAAATTTATTCTAGGATATAGTTTTATCCAATTCAGTGAATCTAATAGTTATTTATGTATATCAGCACTAAACCATGCTGTAATTTCACTGAAGACATTTTAGATGGAAACTCAGTTGAATATTCGTATTCCCAATAGTACAAACAACTCAAAATCAATAGCAAGAACCAAGTACAGTCAGAATTTGCAAAATAACTAGGATATGGAATTTACCCAGGTGTCTATCAACAGATGACTGGATAAAGAAAATACGATGTACATATGCCCTACAGAATCCTACTCTGCCGTAAAAAGAATGGAATCTTATATTTTAAAGCAAAATGGATGCAACAGGAAGGCATTATTTTTAGTAAAATAAAGCCAGTTTCCAAAATATCATGTTTTCTTTGGTCTGTAATAACTATTACACAGAGTACAAAAAGTGTAATCCATCTGAGATTGACTTTTGCATTTGTATTGTGGAATAAGGGAAATCTGTTCCCTTTCTATTAATCTTGCTAAAAACATTTAAGAATTAACCACTAAAATAACTTAATGAAATATTTTCCCAAGATTCCATCTTTGAGCAGAGGACCAATGGTATATAAATTTTTACACTGCTTGAGTAGCATTCATTTAGTCTCCACTATTAAAAATCTTAAACAACTTCCATTGCTTATAGCATTCAACTAAGTCAGCAAATTAACTTGAAGCTACAGACGAACTGAAACAAAATCAATCCAAAAAGGTCATGCAGTAAAGTCATGATAAGGTCATTTCCCCCAGAATTCCCAGAGTTACTTATTGCCCTTTGTTTGAAAGGACTGTGTCATCACCATATTAATTACTGGTTCAGACAGCAGGCATCATGGGGAAAGCTGATTCTGAGAGAAAGCTGTAAAGTTGATCTTTCTTCACTGTACCCCCATGAGGGATAAATCATTTTTATTATAAAAGATGAAAGTTTAGATCCATAAATACTATTGTGCTGTGGTAGCTCACAGCATCACAACATACCACACGTTTCATAAGTCATAAAAGCACATCACATACAATTCAAGAGTTCAAGTTTAGCAAGCATAATCTTACCTAGTCAAGACATTTTTTGTTTGTTTGAAATGCTGTGTGAAAGAGAGAAGGAGAGTCAGCCAGTCATCCATTTGCTGTTTTATTCTCCCAATGGCTGCAATGATTGGGCTTAGGCTGACGCACAGAATCGCCTGGGTATCCCATGTGGGTGGCAGGAGCCCAAGTGTTTGGATAATCTTCTCATTCCCCCGATGCATTGAAGGAAGTTTAATTGGAAATGGAGGAGACAGGAGTCGAGTGTATCTTCAAATAGGATGCCAGCACTGCAGATGGTGATTCACCGTAACACTGGTCTTTCTCACTGAAATTTTTATGCTACAGTAAATGGTTACAGCTTGGTATGCTGACATTCCGTATCTGAGCGACAGTTATGCAAATACAGTTATGTCAATCTTTGTTTTATAGCTTTGTGAAACCAATGGTTAAGAAAGTTAGGTTACGGGGTAGATTTTGTGGTGTATCAGGTTGAGCTGCCATCTGGAAGATCAGCATTTAATATAGGCATTGTTTCGACCTGGCTGTTTATCTCTGATCCAGCTCCCTGTTAAGAAAAGCTGAAACTATGGCAAAAATGACCAGGCCCATGCCTCATCACGGGAGACACAGAAAAAGATTCTGGCTCCTGGTTTTGGTCTGACCTTGCCTGGCTAGTGCAGTCATTTGGGATGTGAATAAATATATGGAAGAATTATCTTCCTCCCCATTTCTCTTTCAGTAACTAATGATGAATATTTTTAAAAAGTATGTTTTGATCCTGTGGCTTCAATTATCTAAGATTCCTTTAAAATTTACCATGACCCATGATTGTTATCTCCAGTAACTTAATCTTTATTCCTTTTACTTGTTAAAATTTTTATTTGGTGTAGTATTAAACTCTTGGGTGTAATGTGATTTAAATGTGTTATTAAAAAAAAAAACAGAAGAAAGAAGAGGGGAGAACAGAAAAGGACAGGAAGGGAGGAGGGGAGTGGAGGAGAGAAGAGGGGAGGTAAGTGATAGATTGGAGGGGAGCGAGGGAGGGGAGAGGAGAGAAGGAGGGAAGAGTGAGGGGAGGAGGGGAGGTAAAGGAGGCAGGAAGAGAAAGCAAAGCGCAGCGAGGAAAGGCTGGGGAGAAGAAAGGCAGGAGAGAGTGAGGAGCAGAAGGAATGAGGGAGAAAAGCAGAAAAGGAAAATCATTACATTTTTTTAAATTGCATCTATGAAATGTATCAAATGAAATCTGTTAAGAATTAAAAAAAAAAAACTGGGGAGAGTGGCTCCTTGTAAAGCCACCATCTGCAAGGTTGGCATTTCATATAGACACCAGTTTGTGTCCCAGCTGCTCCACTTCTAAATCCAGCTCCCTGCTAATGGCGTGAGAAAAGCAATGGAATCTGCCTCATTCTTTCAGTCCCCAACATCCAGATGGGAGACTTGGATTGGTTCTTGTCTTTTGAATGGCCCATCGCTGGCCATCACTGCCAACTCTGACATCATCTAGCAGATTGATATCTCTTTTTCCCTCCTTAACTCTACTTTTCAAATGCATATTTTTAAAACAGTTTAAAAATCCAACAATAAATAAAATAATAAATATAGAGAAAATCAATTAAAGAAATGCTAAATTTTCTCAAGTATGAATTGTTGAGAATAATCTGTAAAACTATCAATAGATGATATCATTTCCCCATTTTTCCACATTTCATATGAAAAATGCCACTGTTTGAACTTGATCACTCAAATTCACATCGTAATGGTTCACAAGAATCAAAATAGTAATTGCACAACAGGTATGCATCTGTAAAAAAAAAACTTGAATAAGTCATAACCTTCATGTTGCATCATCTATGAAATTTTGCAAACTATGATTTCTAAAATTATTTCCAGTTTAAGCAAATCATGATTCTAACAATTATAATCAGTACAACTTGCGGTGATTCATGTTTTGATGCAGTAAGAACAGGCAGTTTCATTGTCTGACTATAAATAAATCATGATATTAAAATTCACACAAAAACTTTAAGATCCTACAGGATTCAAAGGAAAGCCATCACCTCTCTACATGCCTTCCACACTGTGCAAATGCACTTTGGTCAGAGACTATAGAGATACTGTATTTGTAGAGGCAGATACAAAATATACAAAGACCTCCACACAACAGGAGCATAAGTAAAAGTTACTCTAAGAAACAGCAGATAGATACTTTATAAATGTATGATTTAGAACAAACTTTCTACTCAAGACTATAATTGGTTAATCAGTTTCCCTGACAAGGACACATGTTTTCTCCATTATGTCCAACCTGTTTGCACTGTTTCATTACTACAGAAAAATATTTCAAGTTCATTTGTATGACTTCCAATATAATATTCTTAAGTATATGATTATAAACTAAGTACATTATAGTTAACTGTAAAAGTACATACCTACAAAATGCATCTTTTTAATAATAGTCAATCTATCAAGCAAAACAAAAAATAAATAAAAAATGTTGCATATTTTCCAAAATCTTTCAGTGTTTCATGGTTTGCTGATTTATAAGTTTCACACTTGTTTGAAATAATTGTATACCAGAAATTCTATTAAATTATATTCATTAAATTTATCATGCTAGAAGACAATTTGCAAACTATAGCATGTACCTCTATAATCTTTGTTATTAATATAATCACATGGCTTTTGCTTTAGATTTGATGTTTGTAAATTATTACTTTAAATATTGACCATTTTTTCATTTATTTAAAAAAGAAATATGAAAATACTAAGATAACCAATGAAATCATGATATTAACACTACAGTTTATAACCCAAGATGCACTGGTGAAAAAAAAAAAGGAACAAGTTTGTCACAATAATAACAATCCCAGAAGTTTTATCCCACAATCTTGAATATAGAAGACAAGGAGATTAAAGAGCAAAATATAGACTAATTGAATAATTTCCTTATTAATTGGTTAATATCATATACTTAATATTTATGTCTACTTTACTATAAGAATATGCATTATCATTATAACCTCAAACGTAACTAATAGTGTCATTGTTTGAATAAATCATCTTGCATCCGTCATTTTCTATAATTTTATAATAAAAACATTGTGATTACCTTTGGGTACTGTTTAACAGGAATCAATACCCTTTCTGAGAGCTTTATGTTTTTGTTGCTGATGACATCAAGATATTTCTTTTCTTCATCTTCTTTTTTTCCATCAGAACCTTGATACTTTTCTATTTCTAAAAAAAAAAAAACACACACACACGAAAAATTATAATAAGGATAGAGGTTACCACAAGTATTTATTATGTATACTACTCTTAACTATAATTTTGCAGAATATCTTTGTAAAGGTTTGAAATGAAACATGAAATATTCACATTACATGTTTATGTAAATATAGGTATATATGCATGTATGTATACATACACACATAAACACACTATTTCCAGGCACAGTATTGAATGATGAAAAAGCATAAGTCACAAGAAGATTAAGAAGTAGAATTTCCAGGCCTGGCAGCATGGCCTAGTGGCTAAAGTCCTCGCCTTGAATGTGCCAGGATCCCATATGGGCGCCAGTTCTAATCCCAGCAGCTCCACTTCCCTTCCAGCTCCTTGCTTGTGGCCCGGGAAAGCAGTCGAGGACTGCCCAAGGCCTTGGGACCCTGCATCCTAGTGGGAGACCTGGAAGAAGTTCCTGGCTCCTGGCTTTGGATCGGCATAGCATAGGCCATTGTGCTCACTTGGGGAGTGAATCATCTGATGGAAGGTCTTCCTCTGTCTCTCCTCCTCTCTGTATATCTGACCTTGTAATAAAATAAGTGTTAAAACAAAAATAGAATTTCCTAGTCTGATGGAAAAACAAGCTTGGTTTTTTCGTTGAATTGCAGGAAGGCAAAAAACCCGAGATGAGGAACAGTGAAAAAAGAAACTGACATACTGTCAAGGACAGCTCCTTCAGATCTTGTTGAACACGTGACATTTTCTACCTGAAATGTTGAATGTAACAGTGTGTATTGTCTTTAGCAGGGGAAGGGAGGAAGTCAAGCTAAATTGCTATTTATATTGATAACAAGTTACCATGACAGATTAAAACCACTGGTAGACAGCAAAGAAGAAAACTTACATTATATAGCTGAGAAAAGATAACTAACACATACAAAGGAGGTAAGAATGAGATGGTGAGAAGAACAGACAGGTTCTCAGTATGTCTTCCAAATATTCATATGCTGAAATCCTACACGTGAAATAAAAGGTAAAAGAAAGAAAGAAAGAAAGAAAGAAAGAAAGAAAGAAAGAAAGAAAGAAAGAAAGAAAGAAAGAAAGAAAGAAAGAAAGAAAGAAAGGAAGAAAAGGAAAGGTATTATAAGTGGGGCTTTGTGAGATTACTAAATCCTGAGAGTAAAACGCCTATGAATGACACCATTTAACTTACGAGGCTCCTTCCCTTTACCTGGATTAAGGAAAGACATAAACAGAATGCTCCACTGAACTAGACAATACATTTTACAAGAAACTCAATCTGTTGGTGTGTTTGTTAGTTTTGGAATTAGGAGTCTCTGGAATAGAGAAAAACAAATTTGAGTTTATAAGCTAACCAGTATATATTTTGTTACATCATCTTGGATGATCTAAGGAACCACTTGTCTGAAGAAACTAAAATATTGACTGACACGAATAAATATTAGAAAAACAGTCAGCAGGGCCTTGGAAGGGTGGGGAACAGGGTAAAAGTGATCAAAGAATATCAATTTACAATTATGCAAAATTAATAAATCTTAGAGAGCTATTCCACAACATATTGAATGTAACAGGACAACTCAAACATTCTGTGGCAAGTGGAATTAGATATATTTATTTTGCTGCCAAAAAAAAATTGAGATCCATACACATGACATGCCTTCAAAAAAGTTCACACAAAATGCTTGTTATGAAAATACTAAACATCAGTTTAAAACAAACGTCTTAGCTCCATTTGCCATTAAGATTATGAAGCATTCAAAATTGTAACAGCACTGTATTATATAATTAAAATTTTGCTGAAATGATTAGATTTTATGCTGTGTTTTCCTCCATCAATCAATCAACATATCAGAAAAAACTTTTGGAGCTGACACATACGTTTACTGCATTAGTTAAGATGATTTCACATATGTGCATTTACTTCCAAAAGCATCAAGTTGCATAAACCAAATATGTACAGCTATCTATGTGGTTTAAAAAGATTACAAGGAAATGAGAAATTCAATTGCTTGGCCGGATGAGTCATACTACTTATGATTCTACTTACTAGATTCATAAGAAAACAATTTACTCTTTTTTTTTTAAAGATTCATTTTATTTTTATTGGAAAGGCGGATATACAGAGAGGAGAGACAGAGAGGAAGATCTTTTGTCTGATGATTCACTCCCCACGTGAGCGCAACAGCCAATGCTATGCCGATCTGAAGCCAGGAGCCTCTTCCAAGTCTCCCAGAGGGTGCAGGGTCCCAAGGCCTTGGACCCTCCTCGACTGCCTTCCCTGGCCACAGGCAGGGAGCTGGATGGGAAGTGGGGCTGTTGGGATCAGAACCAACATCCATATGGGATCTGGGCATTCAAGGCGAGGACCTTAACCACTGCGCCATCATGTCAGGCCCAACAATTTACTCTTAAGTAGAATGATTCCTCATTGCTTATATTTCATAAAAATACTTTTAAACTGTGTTTAAAATTTTTATTTTCTTTATGTTTTGTTTGAAAGACAGGTGACATAGAGGAAAAGAGGGAGAGTTTAAAAGGGCCAAGGGAGCAGGGGAAGCAAGATAGCCAGAGTGAGACTGCAATAGTGACAAGAGCTCTAGCTTCTCATTTATTCCTTATACCCAGCAACAGCTTTGACTGGGAAGGCCGAACAAAGTCGAGTCACTAACTCCATTCAAGTTTCCTGCATGGCTGGCAGGGACTCAAGTGTTTGAGCTTGTCATCTACTTCCTACCTCTTCAACCTTCTAGGATGCTCAAAAGCAGGAAACCAGATTAAAACTTACATTTACATAATATTACCAAGGAAATGTTATCTCACCATCACAGTATATAAGACTTAATTTCTAGAGAACAATGTTTTCTGTTCTTTGACTACAGAACCAAGCCTCTAGTAGTTAGTGCTGTCAGAAAGAAGGTATACAGCACAGAGGAAGTTCATCCCTTTTGAAATCTTCCATGTTAAATTTCAGAGATGAGTATGCTATTATTATAGTAAGCTGCCCTCATTTAAAAATCTAAGTCCAAAACAAAAGGGCAAATATCTGTGAGTACTTTTAAATGTTCATGGAAAATATATATTCTTTTAAAAATGTGGATTTCAAAGTTGTTTCCACCAAAACAAATTTATCTCCTTTCCATAATTTTTGATGTATTCGCATACTATCACTATTTGCCATGAAATGAATGCCTAGCATTGGTAAATATGGGAAAACAATTTAGCACAAATTCTATTATGTTGAGAGAAAAATGAATTTATAATTTCACATTCTAAATTGAGTGAAAAAAATTAGTGGTGTTTCAGCATACATTTATGGTTTTCTGCATCATAACCTTGAGGAGTAATAGATATCCAACTTTTTAGAAGAAAAGGTTTAAAGGGCTATTATATTATGAACACATAAAAGAAAAAAAAATTAAGATTTATTTATTTTTAATTCAAAGTCAGATATGCAGAGGGAAGAAGAGACAGAGAGAAAGATCTTCCATTCACTGTTTCACTCCGCAAGTGACCTCAAAAGCCAGAGCTGAGCAGATCCAAAGAGAAGAGCCAGGAGTTCCTGCACATGTGCAGGGTCAAGGCTTTGGGCCATCCTTTCCTGCTTTCCTAGGTCACAAGCAGGGAGCTGGATGGAAAGTGGTGGCTCCTGGATTAGAACCAGCGCACAAATGGGATTCTGGTACATTCAATGCGAGCACTTTAACTGCTAGGCTACTGCATAACATTGTTTTAATTGAGCAATTTCCTCAATATGACCTTACATTTAAAATTATATTTATGTATGGGGGAGGATCGCAACGAGACAGAAGGACACAAAAGAAGCAGTTATTTGTGTATTCACTTTAAATACCATCAACAGCTGGGTTAGGCCAATATCTGAAGCCAAGTTCCCAACCTGGTAGGTTGCTTGCCTTGAAGGCACAGACTCACTCACAAAAATACTCCTCTCCATTGCCTTACAGGTGATGTTACAAATATGATACAAAATGGGGTCATTCTCACTTTAACTGATCATTTTAGAACTTGGTCCTCAAAAAAATTTCTCCCAAGGAGAATATAATTAGTATTTGTTTTTACTTCTAGGATGTACAAAGCTGAAACCTTTCAATCACTGAAACCAACCAAATAAGGCTTTCTGGTATAATTATTCCTAACATCTTTATAGCTTTCATGTTTGCTTTATTCGTAGTAATATTTGATCCCTTTTATACACCTGCATGAGCTGCCTCCATCTCCTTTAGAAACAGGTAAGCATGGCCCAACACAAGGACTCCATTGGCTTATCTTCTAATTCCCCATATGGATGCTGGTTCATGTCCTGGCAGCCCAGCTCCCCATGCAGCTCCCTGCTTGCAGACTGAGAAAGCTGTAGAGGATGGCCCAATGCCTTAGAATCTTCCACCCACTTTGGAGACGCAGAAGAAGCTGCTGACTCCTGGCTTTGAATTAGCTCTGCTACAGTTACTGAGGCCATTTGGGGAGTGAACCACTCATGAAAGATCTTTCTCTCTCCCCTTCTTTCTGTATATGCCTATAAAATAAAAATAAATCATAAAAAAAGAAAATAGACAAGTGATAAAGCACCATCTTAAATTAGTTAATGTCATTAACACAATTAATCAATATTTAGTAGTACAAAAGTTTACTGAGTTCTTTTTGTGGTTTAATATGTAAAATTTTGGTGCAAAAAATAGAATTATCACCTGTTATATAATTTTAATCTATTTTTTCAAGACTTATCTATTTTTATTAGAGAGGTAGATTTACAAAGCGAGGGAGAGACAGTGAGGAACTTCTGTCCACTAGTTTACTCCCAAAGTGGAGGCAATGGCCAGAGCTAAACCAAGCTGAAGTCAAGAACTGCCTCCGTGTTTCCCAGGTGGCTGCAGGGTCCCAAGGTCCTATACTGTTTTTTCCAGGCCACAAGCAGGCAGCTGGATGGGAAGTAGAGAAGCCAGTACATGAACCTGTGCCCATATGGGATCCTGGTGCAT